GCCAGCTGCCCCAGCACCGCCATGCCTACGCTGTGTCGCGTGCCGGGCAGTCCGGGATTCCCCAGGCCAGCCACCTGCGGGCGGCACCAGGGAAACTGAGGCCCAACAACTCTCGCCACCCCCGACCTCACAGCGTCCCGTGGGCTCCAAAGCAGAGGAGCGGAAACGCAGAGCAACGCTGCAGTGGGGAAGGGGCGCGAAGAAAGGGCCCAGAAACCCGACCCCCGAGAACTCCAGAAGGCTGGGCAGGCAGGGCGCCCTAGTGCAGGAACGGAGCTTCTGGAAGTTTGGAGCCCGTCGAGCACCGGACCCACCAGTTAAGAAAACAGAGCAGCAATTTGGGGGCACTCGGCTCCCGGGACATAATGGCCGAACTGAAGCTAGGGACCGGGAGCCCCTACGTCGCCTCCCCACGCCACTCACCATCCACCGCTTCCCTGGGGGCCGAGGCTCCAAAACGCATCGGCTCATGGCTCGACTCAGCCACTGTCCGGCGCCCAAAAAGCCGCGCGGCCTCATGCTGCCCCCATTCCCGGCCCGGACACCACCCCCTGACGTCATCACCCCGCAGCAGCCAATCGCGTTGCCATTTGTTTGGCGTCGACCGCCAACGTCCAATCCGAGCCGGGCTGCATGGCCGCCATGCTTCTGAGGGGCGGAAGCGGCGAGGCGGTGGCCGAGTCCGGGAGCCCAGGCGCCTTCAGTGGCGCGGCGTCACGGTGTCCCTGAGGGGTTTGTGTGGGACGCTTGGAGCTCTTGCTTGACCTTCGGTTGGGAGGCGGAAGCCTTGTTATGCTCCCGGCTATGGCCCTGCCTCGCGGCGAAAATCTGGCAAGTCCTTTCCCCGATGTAGGCCTCAACCTCCCCAGCTAATAAAAGTTTTCTACCTCCCTCCGGCTCAAAAACCGTGGTTCCCGGGGGCGTGGCCAGAGGGGCGGGGCCTGTGGGCGTCCTGGTGATGGTGCCTAGCAACGTCAGGGCCCGGGCCGCGAGGTAGTTGGCAGAGGCCTCGGGGTCCTCCTGGAAGGGGCCTCATGACAGATTCGGACGAGGTGCGGGCTGGGGAGAAGACTAACGCAAAGGCAGAGGGCCAGGCAGAGAGACCGAGGCTGGGTTCGCAGGAAAGGGTGAAGGCCGGGAGGGGCAGGGGCAGCAGTCCGACTCAGGGAAGGCCCTGGCCACCATGCCAAGAACCAGGGATGTGAGAGATCCTTGTAAGGCTCGGCGGCTGCTTGGACAGAGGTTTCTGGCTTGGGTAGCTGGTGGGGAAGGTGACCTCACCAAGATGGGAGAGCCTGGGGCAGAAGTCAGGTGAGGTGTTCAGTGTGGCCTGCTGGAGTGAGGGTCCTGAAGGGTACCCAAGGGGCTGTAGGACCCCCAAGGCCTGAGACTTGGGACCGGGCCTGAGCTGGAGACATCAGAGCTTGGGGTGTCAGTAGCCGGAAGTGGGAGCTGGGAAGGCCTAGGGGGGAGAGCAGATGGTGTTGTGTGAGGACCCTGATCCCTGACCTTGACCACAGGAGAGGGAGAAGGGCAGGACTAGAGAGGGACAGGTTGGCACGGCCCTAAGGGGAATGGGACTGGGAGTGCCACCGGACCCCCGAGTGGGAGTGCCTCCTTCCAGGCCTCATTTCTGCCTCTCCTCCCTCCCTGCAAAATGCTGGCGAGTATGTCAGTGGGTGGGGGTCATCTCGGGGGCCTGCTGCAGCTTGCTGTCCTTCGGTTCTAGGATGCCCTGAAGGTTGACCAGGGCCCCTCACAGGACATCCCAAAGCCATGGGTGATTCCAGCCCCCAAAGGGATCCTGCAGCACATCTTTGGAACCAGCCAGGTGTTCCAAAGCATCTGTGATGTAAAGCCAAAGGTCACGGGGTTAACAGTGCCCCTCAAAGTCAGGGAGTAGTGAGTGACTACCTTGCTTTGGGGTCCCAGGTTCCTGCCTGACACAGCCATTCCCATACTGTGCAGCTTTGAGCCACTTACTCTGTTCGGGCCTCAGTGAACTCAACTGTCTAATGGGGCTCTTCCACCTCAGTGGAAATGAGGCTGATGGCCTGGCTGGACTCCAGGAACACCAGCCTGCCCTCCCTGGGCTTCTGTCTACTCCTCCTGCCTCTCTATCCAGCTTCCTTGCCTCCCACAATCCCCACCCCAGCCCTATGCTCTCGGCTGGTCCACAGTCAGGGCCACCCCTCTGCCTGTCCCCACTTTCTCCACAGCTACTCCAGAGGCCAGCAGTGCTTGGAGCAGGCAGACTGGGAGACAGCCGTGCTGTTCTTCTCCCGCGCGCTCCACCTGGACCCACAGCTGGTGAGAGGCAGACCTGGGTGGGCACAGCCAGTTGCTGGAACATGCTTCCTCCCTCCCTGTTGCACCTGCCAGATCCCTCCTCTCAGGGCCACCAAGTCCCTGATGGGAATTGGGTGTCAACCCTCGGCGGGGGCGGAGACTTTCCCCTACCCTCCAGGGGCAGATGGTGGGGAGGATCCAGCAGCCTGGGTCCCCTCACCCTTAGGTGGACTTCTACGCCTTGCGGGCCGAGGCCTACCTCCAGCTCTGTGACTTCTCCTCGGCTGCCCAGAACCTGCGAAGGGCCTACTCCTTACAGCAGGACAACTGCAAGCACCTGGAGCGCCTCACCTTTGTGCTCTACCTACAGGTGCCTGGGGCTGCCAGGGCTTATGCAGGGCACACACCTCACACCACTGGCTTTCCCTCCAGGGGCTCTCCTGGCTCCTGGGCCCAGCTCCGTCTCCTTGGATTCCTCCTTGTCCCTGTGTCTGGGTCCCCACCTGCTGCCCCTCTCACCTCCAAGGCTGGTTTACTGCCAGGGTTGAGTCAAGTTTGGCAACACTGTCCATTCAGGCTTTCTGCCATAATGACAGTGTCCAATATGCTACCCACCAGCCACGTGGAACTGTTGAGCCCTTGACATGTGGCAAGTGTGACTAAAGAACTGAATTTTATATCTTATTTTTATTTTATTATTATTATTGTTTTTGAGACGGAGTTTCGCTCTGTCGCTCAGGCTGGAGTGCAGTGGCACGATCTCGGCTCACTGCAACCTCTGCCTCC